CATCTTTCCGGAAGTCCCTAAACCCAAGACACTCAAAGCTCACAAGTTCACTCGCACTTCTTTTTCTCTTTGCCGTCCTGAGACGAAAGGGGTTCAGTCAATGGAAATGCATCGAGTGCAACTGGGAATGGATCTTACATGAAATGCCTCGAATGCAACTGGAACAGCCCCCCATTCTTCTCCTTATTTGAATTGTCTCGCAACCAAGCTCATGTAATCCAGAAAACACGACACACTACAAACAGCTTCTACGAAGGCATGTGGCGCAGACAGCGCTGGTCCGACTGAGCCATTTATAAGCTTAGCAGCTTCCTCAGCTCTATGTCTAGACGGGAAATCTGCAATGTTAGACTTCGAAGGCACCCTGGAGACCCAACAGAGGCATTCATTCGCTCCCCATAACCTGGACAATTCGGCTAGAAGAACAAACAAGGACAGTGATTGCGACGAGGATTTGACAATGGCTTCCTTTATCGCATTGTTATCCACAAACAGGAGCACACGGCGCCTTTGCAACAAGGGCTGCAGCTGCTGGAATGCCACGACTATGGGAAACAGCTCAAGCTCTGCAATGAGTTGTTCCTTGTTGCCAAGCGACTTCCAGTGGCGCAGTAGGTTCTCTGGAACCACCACTTCGTGGACCTGTCTTATGTTGGTGAGTGGGTCCACACATACTACGCCTGCGCCTGCGGGGGATGCTGCATCTGGCTCCCATGCCCCATCAGTGAACAAGAGTACTGGTCGAGCAGAATCATGAACAGAAATTTGCCGGGGCTTGGCACACCGCAGCACAGTAGCAATATAAGACCCTACCACAGCCAATTCTTGCTTGTAGGAAACGTGCCAACCGTGCGCTGCAATCTTTCCCAGAAATTGCATGGCAGGCTTCAACACCGAGCCCATATACTGTCCTTGGGCAAAATTGAGCTGTCCTTGCAAAGAGGCCGCCACCCCGGGTGGCACTTTTTCGTCTGTGAGCAGCTGATCAACCAAGCCTACGAGTGACGCCACTTGGGCCTCCTTGTTGCGAAGGAGGATGTGGCCACTGTCGAACTGAGTCAAATCAACACAAACACCCAACACATTGAAGCATGAGGCAAAGCGTTGGGCCTTGACGCCTTCTTTTGCATATTGCCAACCCAAAAGGTCAAGGATCTGAGTTACACATTCATGTGCGCAATCAGCCGTCGCTCTGGGCTCAATGCACGGGAAATCGTCATAGTACACAGTCTGCCAAAGATTAAGCAGTGAGGTGGTGATGTGCCACACTGACTTACTTACTCTATTAAAGGCGTACACAGAAGCCGCAGACCCAAACATTAATACTGAGGACACGAAATAAGCAGGCTCTTGGCTGTGGGGGTCATACACCACTATGATACGAGTCCACAAATCCTCCATATTTGGACCCAGCTGCTTGTAGGCAGACTTCAAGTCTAGCGTTTTCCCTAAGACCTCTAGGTTCCCCTCCCACGCAGGAGAGGGGTGACATTGTATGGTGCTCCCGTCAGACAAGCAAAGCCCCGACGAGGCTTTGAGCCTGAGCTTTTGAATGCACAACAAAAGCGAAACCAAGGAATCTATATCCAGCAGCTGCAGTTTGTTACTAGTTCCAAAAGCAGAGTTGAGGCCCGAGGCCAAGCCGTCGTCGATGAGTCGTATTTTGTCGCTCTGCTCCAAAGCAAAACGTCGAGTTGCCAGCCAGTAAGGGTCGCCGACCATTGCAGTCACCCGCGTCTCAGTAAAAGGTCCACGCATCCAGCCTTTGTGGCATTCCTCCAAGGTCTGATTCCAAACCTGCACGTCCAGATCTGGCTTCAAGCTTGCTGTACATTTGGCCGCGGCTGTCTTCCGGAGCCAAATGGATTTAGCCCTAAGCTCTTGTGGAGTCTGTTGCATAGGCACAAATCCGTGAGGGAACTGCTCGGAGAAAGCTGCTTGACCAACCAAACTAAAACCCTTAGTGACCTCATCAAAGAGAGTTTTATCGTGGAAGTCTGTCAGTGTCATGAGTTCCTTCCACAACAACAGTTTCTTGTCCTTGAGCACTACCTGCATTTCAGGGTTAAGTGACTGGTGTAGTTCAACTTCACCAGCTTGGAGCGACAATGCTAAACGCTGGACTTTCTTGACTGCGAGCTTTCTTTTGGCGTTCGTCAGGGCGGGCCCATCATTCAACACCCGAACTACATTGCGGACCAACACATCAGGAATTTGAGGTATTGCATCAATGGGGTGCTTGGCCAACAGCGCTGCCTTTACAAACTCAGCAGGAGTCCGGAAAACCCCGTACACATCTTGACTAGGGTCAAAATTTTCAGACAAGTCTACCTGAGTTCCTCTGGCATCATCAAACCCACCATCAATAACCCCTTTTTTCAAGACTGGTAGAGTGCGGAGGAGCCGGTACTCGCACGAGGCCGCGGGGCAAGCGTCTGTGATGAGCTTATATTCGGCCACCAAAGGAGGCTGGCGCCGTTGGCGAAGAGGCGGCGGCTGCGGCCGCGCGGGGAAACACTCAGGGGTTGGGACCGCACCGCGGTCGACTGCAGCTTGTTTTATCAGAGTGGCAAGCCGGTCGCACAACAAAGGCGGGCATGCCGCCCTGGTAGCATTCAGACAAGGCGCGCAGGTCTCACCCTCATGAGCATGCGTGCACCGGGCACGAATCGGGCAGAGAAGGTTGGCAGAAGCATACCAACAATGCCATGTAGAGTCGGCCCCTCCATGTGCACAGGATTGAAAGTGGTTAGACTCCAGAGAATCCCAGGCAGCGGCCAAAACAGGAAACTGCTTGGACAAAGCTGCTACAGCTAACCAGAAGTAAGAACGACTTGGGTTTGCAACGCTGACCAGGATGCCCCTCCTAACCGCAATGTAGACAACACCCAATATCAGAAAAAAGAGCTGGTTGGCTGAGGCCACCCGAGATCGGTCTTGTGGGCTGAGAGAAGGTAATCCCAGTGGCTGTTGGGATGACCGAAGACCAGGACCATGGACTGCGCGCAAGGAGGTTTGGCACGGCGGTGTGCAATGACAATACGCCACATTTGCGTGGGATAATGCGTGCACCAGAATGTCGCAGTGTGCCTGTCGTGTGAGATCCAACTGCAAAAGTTTCGCCTTGGGCGTCTTACCGACTGCGCAATCAATTGGGAGAATGGAAAAACCCTCTTGACGCAGGGAATTGGACAGCTGTGCGCCGCCGGCGAAGACTTCAATGCACAAAAGCTGGTCAACAGGAACGGAAAAATCTACTGATGTAAACGAATTCGGTATGTTGACTTGCAACGGCCCAGATGAAAATTCCAGCGCGGATGCGGGCTCCAGGGGACGCCGGCTGGCTGCGTCCCCTACCTGTAGCTGTCACGAGGTGCAGTCGGTGTGAGGGTGCTTACCCCCGCATGACTTCAGCCAACAAACATGGACTCCTCGCGGACAGCGGTCTTTGTTCTGATGGTTGCATCGGCCGCGCAAATGCGTTGGCCAGCCTGAGTTTCAGGATGACAGCTGTCGGGCAGGTCAAACGAAGGCTTGCCTCTCTGTCTTCCTTTGCCCTTGCCTTTCTTGTCCCACTTGAGTCGCTTGGGGTCAGGCGCGTCATCTTGCAAAGATCGGTCGACGAGGGGCAAGGGCAGGAGATGGTATCGAGTCTCTGGCGCTTCGAAACATCTGCTCAAGATGTCATCCAAAGGTCTCCCAGGCACAGTGAGATGTGTGCCTCTGGATGCCTGAGCCGCGGCCATCCACATTTCTTGATCAGCCAAAATGACTTGTTGTAAGGACACTGCGCGAAACCCTTTAACTGGCTCTTTGGTAAGCAGGGCAAACATCCTTTGGATTATGGAATCTAGTTTCTGGAATGTGCACAATCCAGCTAGATGATAAGCCAGCGCGCGCCTCTGCATAGCGAGTTTGGCCTTGAGGTCACCTCCAATGTCAGCTCGGATTTCTTTTTGTCGTTTGGACAGTCGCATGGTGCCGTCATTCTTGAACTCAATGGCCTGTTCATGTTTGTTGTGCAAAAGTTCAGATTCCCGCGACAGGCAATCTTTGAGCGGAATGTATCGGATGGTGGATTCTTCGGCTTGCTGAACAACAACATCTACTAATTTGTGAGCCGGCTCCAACTGTGAGTCAATGGTGAGGCCAACTAAAGTAGTCTTTGCAGCTTCGAGGCGCTCAGCCCGCTCTGGCATCAAGAGCTTTCTTGGAGGTTCATCATCTCTACGATCTAGCCGGCTTCTCAGGTCGGACATTGTGAGCGTATGGCTTTCAAAGAACAGACGTCGCCATCCTGCCAAGTCGCCTGGGGAGGGAGGCTCCCCCAACACCTTAGTCAAAGCAGTCACAAAAGGCGTCTCATCCGGCGAGCCCGGCTGAAAGCTTGACACAAATGCGAACTGACCGAAGGTAGCAAGATTTTGGCCCTCTAGGCTGGCAATGGCAGCCTCAGGCAAGCCTATCTGCCTAGCGCGATCCTTAAAGGATGCGCGGCTGTCCATGGCTGAAGCCCACACCCAAACAAGTTGTCACCTACACGTCCGATGTCTGTATCAGAGGTGATCTACTATGCAAGCGACATAATACCTGCAAGTCTGCACGTCAACACTTGTGTCGTTGATAAACAATAGTTGATAATGCACTCGGGGTCATGTTTTAAAAAAAAACCTTGAAATGAGCGCGCGCGCACGCACACAAAGGCTGAACAGGGTTCCTGTTCCCACAATGGAGCATCTAACAGAAAACAATCGCTCCTGACACTGGACTCGTGAAGTCCTGGTGCCTTGACACCTTGACAATGGGATTTACTCCCGTTACGCACACACTCATCTCCCACAAACCGACACAGCGAAAGCTGCAACACGGCTGAAAATCAGCTTGACAATGGCTTCAAGCCTGTGGAACCAATGGAGGCCCCAGAAACACACTCTGCACATGTTGTTAGTAAAGAAACATCCGATTTCTGAGAAAAACCCTTTCAGGAAAACAATCAACACATATTGGAAAAAATCTCGCGAACAAAGAAAGACACAAACGACAAAAGCAGCGTGTTTCCTTTCACTCCAGCAATCATCCCTCTAGGTATGCGCTCAACATCTCTTCTCCAATCACATGACGACACTGCTGGCAGATCGGCCATTCATGGTTGAGATCGGAGTCAATGTTCCTGTAAAAGGAACTGACCTTTCGTCCACAAGCCAGCTTCTCGTTAGCACCTACGAAATGCAAAATGCCTGAGACCCTGTGCTGCTTTATTCGGCCGTTGGCCTTTGCGGCCGCTATGTATATGCGGCCCCCCCAGCTCTGCCTGTCCCACAGCCTCTTCAACTGCTTCGGCTTCTTCGATGTCCGACACGTCATCTGTGTCTAGAGGTCCATAAGCCACCAGCTTGTGATTTTCGTCCAGCTCAGCTGTCAAGACTTCGATTTCCTTATCAATCCTAGCTGCTCGGGACAGATCTGGGTTGAATCTATGCGCCACTATAGCACGGAGCATGCGTGCAATGGCCACTTGTAGGACTGCAACGTTGTCCCGGCCATAGGTCAGAGGTGAGGCCACACCAGCATCTACATGGTGACCCAAAGTACGCCGCTGCTGGAAATCTAACACGCCAAACATTGTGGACCATGCGAGAAGCGTTGTCTTCAGGCTGTGCGTGGTGAGGGTCTCACCTGAAGGGCAGCGGAGTTGCACAATGTCCCTCAGCCATAGCATGCCTTCCGCCGTTGACATGGGTCTGTCCAGCCAACATCCACGCTGTTCAGAAAATGCAGGCAGAATAACCTCTTTCTTGTCCAGTTTCTGCTGTTGACGCACTTCCATCCAGCGAACGGCCCAACTGCGCTCCGAGTCGAGCACGTGGCCCAAAGCAACTAGCGGTAACAACATGGTTTTCCTTTCTTTGGTGTGCGCTGTTTTGTGAACGTTGGTGCCGGCTTCGACGAGCACAGTCTTGCCTGACTGGGATATTGACAAGTCCTGCGCGTGCATCGCATCCGAAAATCTGCACACTGCCATTAAACAAAACAAGAGGTAGCCAGCAATGACCACCACGTGAAATTGCTCTTCCTGCAGAACCGCAGCTTCAAGCGCACGAAGTTCAGACACATGTAAAGGCCGCGCCTGCACCAGAGTGGGCTTGCGAACATACATGTGGTGCGCGACACCCTTGACTCTGGCACTGATATCCCTGTCAGGCTCTAGGCTTACAAACCCCAACACTGAATGAAAAAACATCACTGATTGAAGGAAGCTTTCTCCACTGGTTGCACCTCTTTGAGACTGCTTGAGATGTGTTAGGTAGTCATACAACATCGACTCTTTGATGTCCATTCCAGTGCCCCTTGAGGACGACCGGATCCAAACAAACATGCCCCAAAATGCTCTGACTCTCTTGTAGAGTGTCGCCGTGGATTTATTGGCTAATGCATCATTAAGCGAGGCATTGACTACATGAGAATACGATGCTGGTGGAGTTGACTTAAAAATGTTTTGACCAAAGGTTGTGGCATGCAAATCGGTCTCCACCATGATCTTGATCCATGTCAATGACCTGTGTCTCAAGTCATCGGGACTCACAATACACGTTGCCAGCTTTGCTCTCTTGGCACTCCGGGAAAAAGCTGGAGCAGCAGTCGATACCTGTGTGCTATGGCAAACCATATTGCGCATAAAGTCAGCTAGTCCCACAGTTGATCCCTTCAAGTTTTGTCTGCTGCCAAAGGAAGACAAATTTGGATTCAAAACTGGGTTCGACTCCCACGGCAACTTGACGGCAGTCCTGAGAGACTCTGACACGTGTCGGCATACATCTTCCGTGATCAAAGTGCTATCAGTGCCTGTATGGACAGCAGCCTTGCTAAGTGAAGAAGACCCCACTCTAGAACCTACTCCAGTCGCAACCTGGGAACTCATCTGAGTCGCCTCTCGAAAAACGGCATCTTTCCCCCCTTCTTCCATTCAACGAACAAAAGCGTGACTTGACTTGCTGGGAAAGTGCACATCGCTGGAACTCAAGCTGGAAAAGAAGGTCGGGAGCTGCCATCCTGGAGGCAATCCGACATAGCTGTGTCCGACATGGCTCCCACCCACACCTCCCTGAGAGCACAAACACTGCATGCAAGGTTACGGTTAGGGACGTTTCCCTGCTTCCTGAAAAAGATGGGACTCTCAACAAGTTGAACGTTTCC